CAACTTAATCTCACACTCCAAATGAAGAATAAGATGCACCATTATGTCAAAAAATGAGGGTGGGAAGTACATCTCAAATTTGCACAAAGTCACAACCACATCCGCCTACAAAGCATCAAGTGTACAAGAATCAAGCACTTTACTGCATATTATATTGAAAAATGAACAGAGGCTTGTAATAGCTTCCCTCACGTGCTTTGGTAAAATACCACGTATTGCAATTGGTAGGAATACTTGCATCAAAACATGGCAATCATGGGATTTCATACTTGTCAGCTTCAATTCTCCATTTAAGGATACAAATATTTTCATGTTAGATGCGTACCCTGATAGAACCTTAATGCCGTACAGACATGCACAAAACATTCGTTTTTCTAACCTTGACAATGTGTAGCAAGCCGGGGGTAAATAAGCCTTGTCATCCTTGGCTTTTCCCTCATATTTCTTCTTCGACGCATCCTAGCCTTTCCCTTTCCCTTGCTCTTCCCCTTTCCCTTTTTTGAACTCATTTCATTTTCCGTTTCCAATTCCTTTCCCTTTCTAACCTTTTCTTGAGCCCACAATTCTGGACAAATCCCCATCTTTTCCAATTCTAACCGTGCACCCTTTTCTGTCCTTTATTTTGCCTTGAATATTCATCAGCGTTCCCATAAGTGCATCACACACATTCTTCTCTATATGCATTACATCAAGACAGTGCCTAACGTCATGTTCTTTCCAGTACGGAAGCTTCCAAAAGATTGATTATTTTTTAAAGAGAGCAGTTGAGTAGCTTTTTCTATTTTCCCAAATAATGTTCGTATACCCTTAACTCGAGCATAAACCTCCTCACCAGTCAACGGCCTAGGCGCAGTCCCCTCTTCCACTGTCCCATCAAAAGCCTTTTTCTGCCTACGGTACGGGTGATCGCGCCTGAGCAACCTTCTGGTCCGCACGTACACCTATTTGTGAGAATGATCAAGGAGAATGCTTGGTGTATCATCAATACAAATGGGGAATGCTTTTTTCCCTTTGTTCTTGTACCCAATCAAGTTGCCATATGCAGGAAATCATTAACGGTCCACATAAGAGTTGCACGCAATGTGAACATCTCATTCTTATGAGCATCAAAACCGTGAACCCCTTCGTCCCACATCTTTCTCAAATCGTCAACAAGTGGCGCAAGATAAACATCTATGTCGTTTCCAGGTTGCCTTGGCCCCGTTATAAATACGTATTTCCGTTTCATGCACAACCAAGGAGGCAAATTGTAGATCACTAAAAGTACCGGCATGTGCTGTGTTGGGTACTAAGAGTGCCAAATGGATTCATCCCGTCCGTGCACAACCCAAGCCTAAAATTTCTGATTTTATCACCAAATTCCCCAAGCTTCATATCAATGTTCTTCCATTGCGGGGAGTCGGCTGGATGCTTCAGCATTCTGTTCTTCTTTCTTCCCTCTGCATGCCACCTCAAGTTTTTAGCGTCTTTTGGTGTTGAGAATAGACTCTTAAACCTTGGAATAATGGGAAGATACCACAACACCTTAGCAGGAGGTCCCTTTGTACCAACATTGCAACTCATGCGCTTGTAGCGCGAATTCTTGCATCGTGGACACTCCTCCAATTGCTCATATTCATTTCGATAAAGAATACAATCATTAGGACATGCATGTATCTTCTTCTACTCCAAACCAAATGGACACATGAGCTTCTTTGCTTAATAGTAAGACATAGGAATTTCATTCCCGTTAGGCAACATCTCACTTAACGCAGTCAACAAAGAAGTAAAACTATTGTTTGTCCACTCATGCTTCGACTTAATGTTAAAAAGTGTTAGCACGGCTGATAGTTTGGAGTATTTTTTGCACCCAGGATACAAAGGCTTTTTAGAAGCCTCCGATAATGACTCAAACACGTCACCTTCAACACCACGCATCATCTCATCCACCCCTTCATCCTCGACCTCATCCACCTGATCATCCTCAAATCCATCCTCATCACCATTATCAATAATATGTTCATCATTCCGGTATTCCTCGTCCACACGAATCTCATTGCTTCTATCATGCACATCATTCCCATCAACATCCCCACTGTACTCTCCTTCTTCACCGTGCCAAATCCACACATGGTATTTAAGCCTAAACCCACGACAAATTACATGATCTCTAATGATTTCAACACTGTTGACCACCTTCACAATATTACAATCAACACAAGGACGTTAGAGCCAATCGACACCCATTCTGCGCTAATAAGATGAAGCCCTCTCGCAAAACTCTTAAACCCCATCAAAGAATTCCAATGTATCACGTCTACCATACATCCAGCCACGATCCTTCTCCATTAAGTAAATTATCTCTAAACATAGCAACATATAATGAATAATGTATAATTGCTAAATCTATTATATATGTAAATCAAAATCAAACACACACCATGCATATAACATTCATATAGATTAAAAAATGCATATATGCTTCCAAAGGGTCCTTATCACTCCAACCTAACCCATCCTTGAACGTGTAATCTCACTAGTGAATGTATGTCGACTTTTCAATTTTAAGGAAAATCCGGCAGCATTTCCCCCCAGTTCTCCAAGTACACGATATAGGTAATTGCTTACCCACGTATGTACCTAGTGAACAGGGTGAGGAAATGCTAAGCCAAGATATTCCTTAAAAAAAAAAAAAAGACATACATTCACCACCTAAGTGAGAGTAAACGTTCAAGAACAGTCCCAACCGAGGACTATTCAAGACTTTCTCCTAATGAGAAATTAAAGCCTTGAACGGGTATGTAGGCATATGATGATGTAAGCATTTCAAATAGCATGTTTATTAAGAGTGATTTAACCAAAAATAATTGTCAAATAGCATAAAGTTGCATGATTTTCTATTCACGTCCATTCATAATCTCAATAAAGGGACAATGAAAAAATTAAGCAAGGTACCTTGATCTCTGCACCATCACAGCACCCTTGCTCCAAAAAACCAATGCAGATTGAGACACTATACAAAAAATATACAGAATAAGACAACTAAATTGAACCATTTAGCAAAGTTTAATCTTAGACAAGGTTTCCTGCTGCTCCCGTTGAATAATAATAATAATAATAATAATAATAATAATAATAATAATAATAATAATAATAATAATAATAATAATAATAATAATAATAATAATAATAATAATAATAATAATAATAATAATAATAATAATAATAATAATAATAATAATAATAATAATAATAATAATAATAATAATAATAATAATAATAATAATAATAATAATAATAATAATAATAATAATAATAATAATAATAATAATAATAATAATAATAATAATAATAATAATAATAATAATAATAATAATAATAATAATAAAGCTTCATGATTTATTTAGGGTTTAATCTTAGATACTCATAACAAAATTAATCTGCTTCAAGTAGAGATTCGGAAGGAAAATCTAAGCAATTAAACAAAATCTATGTAAAAATACATATACACATGTTCAAACTTCCTAGAAAGATGAAGAGTAAATGTTCATAGACAAGGTTTCCTGCTGCTCCCGTTGAAAATAATTTAATGACAAGCAAAATTACCGGGCTGACTATTACAAAACACCTCTGCTATACGGACTGAACTTGTAACTAGAAGAGTTTTACTTGTATATAAACTATATGTATCTTTAGTGATATTCTACGCTAAGACTATGTACACACAAACACAGATAACAACAATACTAAAGATAGAGCAATTAGACCAAGCACCCAACTCAGCCAATAGAAATAAACAAAGACAAGCCCTAGATAACCAGAACCCTAAAATTACAAAATTGATAACCAAATCAGCGACAAACCCTAGGTTGCGAAGGAATTCGGTAGATTAAGAAGACCACAATGGCCCAAATCTTACCTCAAAGCTACTTCAATGGAGGTGAGAAAACTCATAATGCGCTTCAATGGAGAATAGAGAGCACGAGTTCAATGGAGGAGAGATATGGAGAGAGAAGGAAGTGCATGCAGCTGCTTCAATGGAGTGAGAGAGCTCAAAAACGGCTTCAATGGAGAAGGTGGGAATTCGGAGGTGGTGGCCTGGAAGAGAAGGTGAGAACGAGGGAAAAAATTGAGTTGAAAAAACAGGGGGAAAGAAAAGAAGAAGAAATACGAGAAGCCCGGTTTTTTTTTTTTTAAATGCGTACTGGTTTGAACCGAACCGGTGCCAAATCCCTTTCTCCCCTTTTTTTTTTCTCTTTTTACTTGGCATCGGTTTGAACCGGTGCTAAAAGTATAACTCTCCACCGGTTTAATAAAAACCGGTGCCAAAAGTATGTATTCCTAATCCCGCCCATTTCTTTCCCACCGGTTTTCAAAAACCGGTGCCAAAGTGCGGTGCCGATTTGCTTTTTTCTACCAGTGATTGATTGGCTTGACTTTTCCAAATTGGTGCAATTATCATGATTACATGTTAATCCCCATTCTTTAGTGTTTCATTTGTTTGATTTATTTGTTTTGGTAATTGATCGATGGTAGTTCACTCTATTCTTCACTCTTGACTTCGACCTAGCTTAGGCGTTAATTGAAAATATTTGAGCATAACCGTTCCTTGTGGTCCGACCCTTGATTTACCTCTATACTTGTATTTAGGTTTGTTAAGTGATTATAAATTTGTTTGACCTTAGGGAGGATTAGTCAACAACCTAGTTTTTACTACGTCAATATTCTTAATGTATACATCAATCATTAAAGATCCAATAAAAGGAAACTGGTACTGTCCTTTTTTATGTTTGAAAATGGCGAGATTGATGTTGCAACAAGATATTCATCATGAGCAATTTCCAATCCTCAATCATATACATAGATAATTATAAATTGTCGCACAAGCTAACCAATTCTTACAGTGTTTATTTGATCCAAATAACTTATATGTCACGTTATATGTTCAGTTTACATTTTCGATAAGACAATAGTAACATTACAAAAATATGTAATGGAAAGAGAATCTACCTTTCTAAAAGTATAAATATAGAGAGCATATACTTTAAGTATACATCAATCATCAAAGATCCAATACAAGAAAACTAAAGAGTTTAATTTCCAATCATCAATTATATATATATAGATAACAATAAATTGTCTCAAAAGCTAACCAAATCATACACCGCTACCTTCATCCCATTAACTTATTTGTCACGTTATTGGTTCATCTTACATTGTCAATAAGACAATAATAACGTGAAAATTATTTCCGATTAGAGGGAGTATTCGATCAATAATTGTTCCACATTTGAGGTAGCAATGCAACTTCAGATGACAAATAACTTTCAGAGCTTGCAACGTCCCCTATACTTGACGAACCATTTAAGTTAGGGGAGGTTTCCATTTTTGTAAGCTGAGTTAGGACAGCTTCGAGCACCTTTCGATCACATGCTAAAGGACTTAGGTTTATTGTGGCTGAGTCATTTGGGATTACAGTAGTGCAATCGAAAGTAGTCGAGGTTTGATCATTTTGAGTGGCACTATTATTGTTAGGATACATGTGAAAACTTTGGTGATATAACAAGGGATTATTGGTGTTATCATGGTTGGCAGATGATGAGGTAATGGAGAAGCAGGGCACTTGCTGGTATGAATTACTCGTATCTGCATTTACTTGAGTTTGGTTAAAGGTGATGTAGGAGTCCATTAATGGTGGTAGGCCGGATGATGAGCTTGTATCTTCCATGGAGTTGCTCTCGTTATCAGCACCACCTTTCAAACCTATTTCTGATCTGTTCTTGTAGAAAACCCTACAAAGGACCCAATCTTCTTGCTTCATGTCAATGGAAAAACTATATGAGTTAGCATATAATGTGAATCAAACTCTAGAATATTTCGAATAATAGTTTACCTTTAAAAATACAAAGTTATTAAGTTAAGTAACATGTGTGAGCAACTTTATCCACTCATCCCCTATGTTTTTAGTTTAAGTTTACACTAGCATAAGTTGACTTTTTTTTAAAAGAAAATTACTCCCTTTATTTTTTATACGCAATAGTTTACAAGATATATTTAGTGATATTTTAATAGAATAAATTATAAAATATTGAGAGAATGAAAATAGGCTTTGTAACTAATTCAACAACATATTACATGACAAAATTTATTTTTTATGCATTAGTTTAAAATACAAGTCAATTCATTAAATAAACTTTATAGTAGAAAAAGGAAAATTATTGTAATTAAAAAAAAAAAAAAAAAACAAAGGAAGTAATTTAATGATATACGTTAAGTTATTATGAATTTAATTTTAATACTTTACTCTCTCCACGTGGTTGTCCTTGCTTTAATTTTTTAATGGCCAAACTCACTTCTATTTTTTATGGTCAACCTCACTTCATTTTTTTTTTAAAATTATTTCACTCTTTTGACATTTCTTAGTTTTCAGTAAATGACTAAATTACTAACGTTGCTACCTTTTCTAACTAATTTTATTGTTTTTTTTTTCTTTTTTATCTTCCTACTTTCGGTTTATGTTATTATTATAATCTTACAATTTTTGTTATATTTTTTCAACGGTAAAAAAACTCACTTTTATCAATTCTTATCCCATCACATGGTCCACAGTAGAATTAAAAAATTTATAGCCTCTATCATGGCATGTGTTGTATTGTTATGGGTTAAGAGTTTTTATTTTAATTTTTTAAATTTTCTTTTTTTACAAATTTGATATTAGTTTTAAATTTATTTAAAAAACACCCTCCCCATTATCAGCCCATCCCCTTCCCTGTCAGCCATCACCCCCATCTCCCCCTTCCCACACCCCAACCACCAACACTTCCCTCATAACTCATAGCCATCACCCATCGACCCCGTTACCGAGCGTGGGGACATATCGCGCGTGGATTGGTGGATTTCGTTTTGTGTATGGGGAGGGTTTTCGTTGGCAACTTGGTGGGGATGGATTTAGGAGGGGGTGGGTTGAGGAGGTGGTTGTTGCGGTGGAGTTGAGGTGTTGATTGTGAGGAAGAGGAGAGAGAAAGGATGTGATTGTAGTAAAGCGAGAGTGAGAGTTAAGAGGGTGGCAAGAACGAGTTTGGTTTCGAAGCATAGTAAGAGATTTTTGACAGGTATTTCGGTGACTTCGCCGGTTGATGGTGAAGAGTCTTGTTTCTTCACTATTGGGGTGTGATGTGTGAAGACCGAGGAGAGATAGAGAGAGGAGGATTTTAAAGGGGGTGGTGATTGAGGGAGCTGAGATGGTGGCTGGTGAGAGCTGCTTGGTGATGCTCATGTCAGAAATTATGGAAGGGAAAAGGTAAGGGAATTTTTTTTTTTAAATAAAAAATTATTTTATTTTCTGCATAAATTTATATGTTAAAATTAATAATAAATCCTCTAACCAATCACAATGCGACACATGTTTGGTTTTACTTAATAAACAAGTTACCAACAGTTCATTTTCTATTTTAAGCATAGGCCTCCAAAGGTCATATTATTCTAGGATAATCAAAAGGGTCGTTTCATTTTTGCAAGACCAGCCAAAGATCATATTATCGTTGATAATTTTTTCAATAAATTTAATCTCCTAAACAACGTATCCGTCAAATAATAGCAATTAAAAAATAAAGGAAGTAATATACTCTATCAATAGTACTTTTATGTTGTACTCAATAGCCATAGATACGCATTAAACAAAGAATTGAAAAGGCAAGGGAAATGACTGTAAGATTGATTAGAAAAAAGTAATATTAGAGAGATAATGTAAAAGGTACGTAGGTAGGTCAAAAAAAAAACAGAGAGAGATCGAATCACATACTTTTATTTTAATAAATCAAGTGTAAAATAAATATTATATTGAAGGTAAAGTTACACTTAAATTATCAAAAAATACTTTAATCTAAAATAAACATAACCTATTTATTTGGTTATTGATATTGTCACTCTCCTTATAGGAAACTGACCTTATAAGAATTACTTCTAATGCATTAAATCAATGATATTACCCTTATTATTTTTTAGGAAAAATTGCTTTAAATAATACCACCTTTCATCCGTCCGCTAAAAATAAGACGACTTTTTTATTATCTCTAAATAATACCACCTTTGGAAGGTGTCCGCTTTAAACAAGTTATTACCTATTGGTAAGGAATAATAACTTGATTAATAGATTATATAGACACGTGTCATCATTTTATTGGTCTGAAAATATAATTTTTTTAATTAAAAAATTAATAAAAAAACCTCAATCCCTCCCATCCCCTTTCCTCTTTCTGCCATCCCCTTCTTTCCCCCTCCATGAATCTCGTTCCCCACCACAGCTAACCCCCTCCCCGCCCTTTGCCCCGTCGGCCACCGTCAATAACTCCCCCACCATCGAAATCACCACCCCTCCCACCCCCACTACCGAAATCACCATCCCCTCCACCTTCACCTCCGAAATCCCCACCGAATCCACCACCACACAGCTTGGTGGTTTCGTGATGTGGGTGGGTGAATTAGATGGTGGTTGTGGTTTTGTGGTATGGGTGGGTTAGTTGATTTTGTGGTGGTTTGATTTGTGGTTTCGTGGTAGGGTGGGTTCTGGTTTCTGGGCGGTTTGGTGAAGGGTGGGGTTTTCAGGGTTGGTTTCGGGGCTAGTTTCAGTTAGGGCGGTTTCGGGGCTGGGTTTTGGAAAGGGGGGTTTTCAGGGTGGGTTTCAGTGATTGCTCTAATTACAAATCAATTTGGGGGTTTTGTGGCTAATTGGTGGTGCTGTGATGGCCGTTGGTGGTTGCGGTTAGGCTTTGTTGGCCGGAGCTTGCTGCTGCGTTGAGTGGTGTGTTGAGTTGCTGTTGTTTTGCTGTAATTGGGTTGCTGATGGTGTTGATTTGAGTGTGCAAAGGTGGGGAAATCGAGGGAGCATGGGAGTGTTTTGGTTGTGTGATTTGTTGAGTGGGAACGGCAGGCGGTTTCAGGGGGCCACCGAAGTGTTACAATGGTGGTGGGGACGGGGGTTGTTTAAGGGGTGGTGGGGTTGGCTGCATTGACATGGGTAAGGAGGAGAAGAGAAGGTGAAAAGGTGAGTAAGTAAGGGAGTGGCGGGGGAGCGGTGGTAAGGGAGGAGGGTGATGGGTAGCAGGGGCAGGAGGAGGTCAGGGGAAAGGGGGAGGGGCTGATTTATTTTTATTTATTTTTTATTTAATTGTTAATAAAATCATAATTAAAGTTGTTATTAAGATTAATTACATTGTTAAATGAAATTATTAAAAAGAAAAAAAAATTAACCGGTTACTCAGGTTATAGGTAAAATAACCTGTTTAAAGTGGACACCCTCCAAAAGTGGTATTATTTAGAAATAATCAAAAGGTCGACTTATTTTTAGCGGGTGGGTGAAAGGTGAAAGGTGGTATTATTTAAACAATTTTTCCTATTTTTAAACCCTAAATCTCACTTGACAACTATTGTGATTTTATCTTGAATCTCAAATTTTACATATTATGAAATCTACTCTTTCGATAAGATAATAGCTTAATATCTTCTTTCACATTAAGGTTTTTTTTTTTTTTTTTTTTTTGATAAAGTAATAATTGAAATCCTATCACTTAAAACTATGTGTCATGTAAATATATATAAAAATATTTCAAGATGGATGGAGTAATTCATATTTTTACAATTGTTTAAAATATTATTACTGGTCAAGTTATAATTTAAAAAATTTTACCAGCAAAAATTTATGTATAACAAAACTTGTTAAGTTTCTAAAATATTATCTATTAATGTCTAATAAGATAGTAGATGTGATAAAAGAAAATAAGTTATTACTTACCAAAAAAAAAAATGTTAGAACGTAATTGGATAAATTATTAATATCACCTTAAACTATTTGTAATAATAAGAAAGTAATATTATTACTAATGAAATACTTAGGCTATTTCTCTTCATCACAAATTAATAATGTTTAAATTATAAGTTAATTTCACTTTAAATTTGTTTAGTTGCGTGCAAATAAATTTAGTTCAGCAGAATCAAGTTCGGTTAGACAAAATAACTTAAGTTAAGCAAAAATAAGTTGAGTTTAGTAGAAATAAATTTAAAAATAAAATAATTTAAAAGAACAATTATAATAGCGAATTGGTAATAAAAGAGTTTAGTAATTAAAAAAATTTAATATCAGTGAAAAAAATTTAATTTTATTTCATTATACTCCCTGTGTTTCTGAAAGTTCAACTCACTTTGTGCAGTCTCCAATGAAAATCTTTGACCATGAATAACTCTGACTATGTATAAGTGAAAATTATAAAAATTAAAAATTTGGATCAATTATAATAAAGGAAATCTAATAAGATTTCACATGCTAATTTATTTCAATTGTATAGCTCATAAAATGGGGTCAAAGTTAATTTATTTTGACCACATATATAGTTAGTGAGTCAAACTTTTAGAAACGGAGGTAATATAATTTAAGTTCAAGAAAAATAATTAAGTAAAGTAAATTTGATGTGAAGAGAACAAGGACTTATTTCTTGAATGTTCAAATTAAGCTAAAACGATGAAAAAGAAAAGTGTTTGAATTACCATAAGATGGTTGAAGTATACATGTAGTTTTTACTCCTTTATGTTAGTCCATGTTCACTTCACCTTAAAGAAATAATATTCAGCATTTTATTTTTAGTTAAAATAATTTCAACTCTATAAAAATAATAATTCATTTGTAAAATTCAATAACTTTAAAGAACAAATATAATAGAAATCAGTAATTAATTTAATTTTAAATCAAAATAATAATTAACATTTAGTAAAATTAATACTCGTTCAGTAAAACTAATATCAGTTGAGCAAAAATAAGGTGAAGATAACATGTTGTTAGATTTAATACACTTAAACTTCTAAGATTTGGGGTTTTTTTATTTACATTTTGTTTCAGATAGTCTTGTCATCTTTTGAGCAAATGTATGATATGTAAATATTCTTACAATTCCAAGAGCATCAACTCGTTTTTTGATCATTATCTTGTTATCAAACATGAGGTTGAGTTCAAACTTTTGCATCAATCAAGTTTGTATTTTTACTTTTAAAGGAGTATAATTTACTAGTTTATATTTAAATAAGAAAAATTTATATTACAACTTTCACCCAAAATAACTTTTCAATTATAGTGTGTTGTTTGTTGTTCAACATGCTATAATTGGAAAGTTATTTAATGTGTTGTAAGTATTGTGACGTTTTAATTTCAAAAAAGTGTTACAAGTATTAAAAAATGGAAAAAGTATAAGATTGGAAGCTACTGATTTTTTATATGATGGAACTCTCTATTATATTGGGATTATATGTGATTGCACTCTCTTGCATCTCGAGTTTGTGGTTGGCCTAGTGATTGAAAATTTATCGTGGTATTAGAGCTAATGCCTAATGATCTAGATCGATTAGAAGAGATGACCCAAATGATTTGAAAATTTGTTACCCACTCCATTCTCTTTTATAATATTCTATTTTTGGTAAACTACTATATTTAAAAATTATAATATGACTTTTCTTACATGGTTTCGCTTCAACCACTGATATATTTTGAGTGCAACTAGGTGCATAGCAGCTATTTATTTGGGATGCATATAGATGAGCTTGGTAAATTCACATGATTTTTGTAATTTTTTTTTATGGTTACAATGGTACTTTTAATGTACTATTATACATGTATTTTATACTACTAGATTATAAGTTGTTTTAGTAGTACTATTTATAGCTATTATAGGTAACAGTGGTATGATATTTGATGACAATTTATATACCTATTTGTACCACTAGATAAACTATTTTTACCACTCTTTTGTCTTATTGCTGCTATTTACTTGCTATATAAATAGCAGCTATGCGCTAATACTTAACCCTATTTTTTAAATTATTTATTTTCTCCCACATACCTCACTTTTTGATGAACTATTGACACCAAAATCATTCCTTATAATTTTTAAGTATCCTAATTGCCCAGCTTACATTTTATTATAATAGAGTTATTTAAATTACCTAAACTAATTGGTCAGTCAAAGTATAATACTTACAAACTAGGACTAACCTATAGCACTAGCAGGCTACTCGACCTGTCATCAGATCAATTGGTTTTACTTTTTTTATTTTTTTATTTATCTTTTGTATAACTCCGAAATTATTGACCACGGATCCACAATTAGGGGTGTCCATTCGGTTTCGGTTTGAATTTAGCCCAAATCCAATCCAATCCAATCCGATCCAATATAAATTTTGGTTTTTAATTATTAAATCCAATCCAGTCCGAATTCCTCATCAAATCCAATCCGAATTAAAATTCGGTTATTTGAATCCGATCTGAAAATCCAAATTAAAATACATTGTAAATTATTTGGGCCTAATGCAATTTTTTTAAAAAAGGAAATTTTGTCCAAAAAACACTTTTTAAAACATTTTTGTTGTAAAAAACCACCTTATAATTTCTTCTTTTTTTTTGTAAAAACATACCTAAAACAAGTTTTTTTTTTGTGAGATAATACCTTAATTAGGCTGGTTTCATGGGATTGACCCGGTTTCTCAGCGTTGACCCTCACGTGAGGGTCTCATGCTCGCTCAGAATTAAACCCACCCTTTCTTTTTTCTTTCTCTCTCCTCAAAACAATCAAGACCACCACCTAGCCAACCTCAACCGTCATCACAACCCACCTGAAAAAACCTATCCTCCATCATTGCCCACCTGAAAAACCCCTCCCTTTCTTTTTTTCTCCTTTTCCTCCTCTAATTAGACATTCTCTCTCCTCTGTTCTTCCTAGCAACCCTCGTTCTATCAATTGAAGTAGCAAACTACATTGTCTTGCTCAAATTGCTACAAGGAACCTCCATTAACCTAATTTTTACACGGGTAAGTTGTTAAAGTTAACAAAAATTTTGTCGGTTTTTTATTTACCTTATTTTAGGGTTTCTAATTCGAGGTATGAAAGGGGAAAAAACCGCTACCAACCCTCTTCTCTCTCTATTGGTTTGTTTTAGGGTGTTAAGGGTTTTTGTCAGGATGTTTGGGGTTATTTATGAGGTTGTTTGGGGTGTTTATGGAGATGTTTAGGGTTTTTTTTGGGTTGTTTTCATGGTGTGTCAAGTGGTTTTGGAGGGCGATGGATGGTGTACGTGGTGGGTTTAGAATTATTTAAGTGGCTGGTGATGGTGATGAGTGTCATTTATGATACTCAAATGGTGTTATTTTAGAATGTTTTTTATTGCTTTTATAGTTTTCTTTCTATCTTTTCTCCTAGTTTTGACCTTTTATTCTCTAGTTTATCTCTTTCTTGCTTATTTTACCTATTCTTCTATTTTCGTAGATTTTATTGTGTTTTCTCTTTTATTTGTTCTCCTTTCCTTGTTAGTAGGTATAAGGTGAAGCCCGAGACACCTCATGATGATTTCTCGAGTTGGAGGATGCTCAAAGTGTAAGGTGGAAGCTCTTACATAGCTCATAAAGCAAGGAGTGGCTAGCTTCACGATTTGGTGATTGCACTTGCATGCTGCGATCGGATGAAAATATGGTGTTGAACCCACCGTAACTCCATTTCAGGACTGCCATATCTAGTGACAATCAAGAGGAAAACACCACCTACATCACGAGCGCGCAAGGAAAGTCCCTTGCTCTAGTGGCGCGGTTGCGCAGCCTGCCAACGCGGACGCGCTTCTCCTCCACGTGGGGGCGCCACTTGGGTTTCCTGCTCCGTACCCAGATCGTCGCGGACGTGCTTGTTCGTGAGATGGCATGCCCGGACGGATCTATTTTTGGACTTCTTCCTCATTCCTCCCTAGTTAGTTATACTCTAAATAGTTATTTCCTTCTATTTTGATGAACAACTAGAATTAGACTTCAATTTCTATTTTTGCATTAGATTTTAGAGAGAGAAACTTGAGAGAGAAATTGGTGATTTCTACTTTTGATCTTCTTCTTCTTTGAATGCAAGAACAATTTCTTAAATTTGATCAAAGTTTGTAAGATTCTTCTTCTTCTTAATTCAATCTCTTTGCATTTGATTTTGTTAGTTGTTGCAATTTCAAGTTTGTTGGTTGATTTGATCTTGATTACTTTGCTTTGCAATTATGATGATGTTAATGATGATTAGCTTAGTTTTGCTTCTTTAATTCACAATAATTAGTGAGTAGAATCTTTGCTAGGGTGATGGTGAAGCATGCATGAATGATGGATCATTGCTAATTGAAGGAATTTGATTGATTGAATGTTGTAATTAAATTGTTTGATAGAATTGTGCATGTGTTTGGATTGATAGGAGTAGCTAACCTTGATTTTCAAGCTAGATTGCATTGTCATTCCTAATGACATGCCCACTTGATTTAAGGATTGCATTTATTGATTGAATTTTGAATTGTGATTCTTCTTGTTAGTCATTCATATTGGAAACTTAGCTTGACTTCTAGGAGATAACCTTTTGATCTCTTTCGATTGCGATTTCTATTTTCCCTTGCAACGTTTGGTTGATCGATTCCCCTCAATTAACATCTCTATCTTGATTGCACGTGGATCCTAATCCCTTAGCTAGTACTTTTGATATTGAATATCTTTAGTGATTTAGTTGTTTTGATACCATAGCTTACACAATCAACATCTTTCTTTCTTCGAAGTAGCTTGAACTTAGGCTCTAGTAACCTCTCTCCCATTCTTCGTGGATCGACCCTTGACTTACCCCTACTCTCTTGTTAGGGTTAGTTGAGTGTTTACAAATTTTGTTGATAGGGATTTGAGCATTCAACGACGTGTTTAAAACTTCTATCAGATGGCGGCTAGGTTGGTGGGTGGTGGTGTTGGCAGTTGAGTTGGCTAGGCGGTGGTGTCGGTGTCAGCGACTGGGTTGACTAGGTTGTGGTTTGGTAGTTTTGAGGATAGAGAAAGTAATTGGAGGAAAAAGGGGGGAAAAAAAAGAAAGGAAGGGTTTCGGCACGTGACCTTTATGTGAGGGTCAACGCCGGAAAATCGAGTCACCCCCTAAAATTGGCCTAAGGTGTGTTCTTACAAAAAAAAATTTGGTTTAGGTGTGTTTTAACAAAAACATTATATATATATATAACTGGTGGTTTTTCACAACAAAAGGGTTATAAAAGGTGCTATCTGACAAATTTCCCTAAAAATAAAAATGCAGTAATAAAAATTCAATTCTTGAGAGTATAGTTGTATATGATTAATACAATTATTGAAAACATAGGTTTACATGATTAATATTAACATTATCATAAACATAGTTTAACATGATTAATATTAACAATAGTTATTTATAAAATAACGGTTTCATATTTCGGTTATTTCAGTTTTTTTGGATCTGAACAAGGTCAATCCGATCCGATCCGAAAATTCGAATTTTAAAAATAAATCAATCTTATCCGATTTAATGTTCGGATCCAATCTGAATTTTTTATTCGGTTTGGATTGGATTGGATTATGATTTTAATTCGAATAATGGACACCCCTATCCACAATTGATACATACAACCACAACTAAAGAAGTTACTCTCACAAGCAAAAATGTAAAGCTAGAGTGACAAGAATCGAACCCCAAACCTTATTTAATTTAGCTATTTCCTAATCTTTTACTACCTTCATTTCTTATTAATTTTAACTAAAAAAATATTTTATGTCTTATAAACCATACCCCTTTGTTGCAATTGATAAGAAATAAATGTAGTACAATATACCTTAGTATGTTAAAAAAATAAAAAAAAAAATAAAAAAAATTCCGGTTTTTAGTATATGCATCACTTTATAAAAATATAAGTTTCAATTACTTGCATCACTTTCTATTTTAATTAATTATCTCTATTTCTTTCTATCACATGGACCCTCTTTATTTATTTTTTCGCTCTATATCTCTTTACTCCAAAAATTACCTAAAACTCCACAATTACAAAAGTGCTGTAAATAAAAAATCGAAGAAAGTAATACAAAAAAAAGAAAAAAAAAAAAAGAAAGAAAGAAAAGAAAAAAAGCTTATTCTTCATTAGTCATAATTCAAAAATACAAATGAAATAGTACTTATACCATTAGGATGTGATGTGTGTTGGTTAACAGCTATTAAAATTAAATCATTGTAGTTGTATGCTGATGCAAGATGGCAGCGGAAACTAACTACTCTTTAGCTCATAATAAAAATACCCAACACGGTTTAACCACCGGTTCTGACTTTGATGGTGAACTCTTTATCAAAGTCAAAATTTAATTTAATATAAGAAGAAAGTACATATTATATATAAAAAAATAAAAAAATTATTGTAATATAACGAGTTAGCTCACTAATTAATTAAGCTAATTAATAAGGAGTACTAATCAACGTGGGTCCTACAATGATAATTAAATCCGAGATAGAGATGTGTAAATCTTTCAGGGAATTGACTAATTATTCCCAAAATTAACTATTTGGTGCAATGAAATTACAAAATAAAAAATTGTGTGGACCGATTTCATAATAATATTATTGTGGACCTGAGGTTCATACGCATACTAACGTTATATTGAACATATTAACTTAAAATTTTAAAATGATAACCTTATTTTTGTTGAATATAAAGACTCTAATTTAAACATAGTAACCTTTATTATTCATATTGCGACTTTGCGAGTATATTAAAAATTTCATAGAAAATAAAAAGTAACCTTTTGTTACCTTAATAATAACACAATAACTTTTATTTTAATATAAATAAAATTTATTTTAATATAGTGATTTTTTTATTATTATATTAAAACAACTATAGTGTCTCTAATATTAGTGATCTACAATAAATTAATATGAACCAAGTCTATGTACGAGTTTATATATACTTAAATTAATGGAGGACAAAAGTTAACAAACGCCCCAGGGGCATTGGATAAGATAGCTAAAAGTAGAAAGATTAAATTAAAATGAACATTAATTATACCGATCGACGCGTGATTTTGTCATATTTCCAAATTAATACCACTTTAAATAATATTATAATTGTTAATCTATCACCCAAAGGGCGTTCATTAGCAAAATTCTTAATGGAGATATAATTCTTCGTGTGAAATGAGATTTGAATTGAATTGAAATGAATATCATAATAATTGGTGGTATTTTATTTTTATTGAAGAATTTTCCAAATAATGAAGACTTTCTTGATGTTACGGTTGTTTTAACTGTTGCTTTCTAATCCACCTAATCCATTTTACCTATAATGAAACTTTCATTATTACTAGGACCCTGATTAAAGATAGAGTTAGAAGTCTACTTTACGAGGCACATGCTACTTTGCATGGAAACAATGCATACTCGTTCTTTTTAGCCAGGAAATGCTATGGACGTGATACTATACAATAGCTCTTTATTATTCACGTGATGTGTCGGTGACTTTATAAGTGTGAATTCGAAAAATAACATAATTTTGTTTTTGTTAAGAAAGAATAGCAACAGATAACATAATTGAACACAAATTCATTTTTACTTAAAGATATAAATGACGAAAGTTTACCTGTTGTAAGAAAGCCTTGTTTAAGCGGTGTTTTAGAGTTTATTGAAGGTCTTATTCTTCTTCTTCTTCTTTTTTTTTTTTTTTTTTTTTTTTTTTTTTTTTTTTTTGGTGAATATAAAATCTATTTTTTGTTTATTTTATTAAAAAGGAGCTAATAAAGATTAGTGAGGCTACCTGTTTATTGTTATACGGCGCTAAAACTCTATTTGTGATTATAGAAATAAGTTAGTTCGAATTTTGAGCTGAATAGATTTTATATTATTTGAATTAAGTTTCTTAATTTGTTTGAGTAGAGAAAGACATAGTATAGGACTATCTTATGATTCTTCAATTAATTAATATTTTTGTCAATTAGAGTAAATTTTTCTTACGATCCGTCTTTTCGTCATAAAGATTCCGAACTACAATTGTTATTTATTTTTATTTATCTTCTGAATTAATAACAAAAGGAAATTATAGGTGGACACCAGTTTCCTCCCCTTCACTTATATAAAAAAGATATGCATAATTTGAAATATCAATCAATCATTTCAATGAAAGACATAGTTTGTTGTTTCTAAAAAACAAAAACTTGGAGAATTATGCAATATGATCGTTATATGTGGCACCTAAGGTTTCTAGGCAACTTGAACAAATCATGCAACTTCAACATATTTATTGGAAAATTATTGGAAATTAATATATTTATTGAAAAATAAACTAATTTATGATCCAACAATTAGGTTACTTATTATTATTTTTATTTGAAGTAGGGAAATTTTAGATTTCTTTTATAATTTATATCATTTTACTCGTCTCCTTTACTAAGATATTGTCTTAAAATATACTCGTAATAAACATAGGTATGTAATATCCTACTTCGTAGTATTTAAAAAAAATTAATAATAACTATGTACTCCGTATTATTTTGACAGAGAAAAGAGTTGGATATCCTAATTATTATTTTGAGACTATTAATAGCTAGATTTCCACCCAGGGGGGAAGAACCAAATAAATCTCACTCAAATAAATCTCCCTGTATTTCCGTATGTCATTGTACTTTCTGATCGTCAACAACTTCGTATAACATCTTTATAAAGGAAGAAAAAAATGAACCATCCATTTCTTTCCAAACCGGGGCAAGGGGCCGGCTCCTAATACTAATTAGCTCTAATCTAACCCTATGCGGCCTAAAAAGTCTATTGCGCAACTAGAAATATGATGCAGTATGTACCTTATAATTTTATCACATGTATAAATTATACGTTCTTAAAGTAAATGGGGAAAACTAACCTTAGAGGTAGGATTAAGTTTAGGAGGGCCAAATGGGCCTTCGACACGAAACTCATGCATAACCCAATCGGTTTTTTTGCCCTTGGGTGCTCTCCCTTGGTAGAAAACCAAGGTTTTCCTCATTCCCACGAGGCTGCCACGTCGAATTACTGGCCGGTCTTTTCCGGTGGCTTTCCAGTAGCCGGAGGCGGTTGCTCGATTTGTTCTTAGGCCCGTTGCATATTTCCTGTCACGTTGGTTGTAAAAGTACCATTCTTTTCCTCCAACACAGGCTGTTTCTGCCCCAACAATTAACAAGTTAAATATTTATTATGATCAAATCAAATTTCTAATGAATTTATGTGATACCCATTTCTATTTGAACAAACATAATTACAAAAATTTACACGTTATCTTGAATTAATAATCATGTTCTAATAATGCTTATACATACAATTTTTACTTGCTTGAAATAATTATTTATTTAAAAACTGCTAAGCTAGTTTTTACTTAATTATATTTTTTTAAACGTTAAATAATATGATTGTTTATCATTATACTCTAAAGAGTATGCATAGGACCTAACCAAAAAAAATTATATCTGAGTAGATTTGAATCATATACGGAGTACTTTTCAATACGAAATTAATAATTGTGAATATTTTTTCAGATATATGAAACATTAACGGATGAAAAGTGCATATTACATCGAATTAGTTTTACACAAACATAAAAACTTTTAGCAAGTTCATAATTTGAAAATGAATAATGAATTTTCCATGGATTAGTTTGCATCCAAAGAGCTAATCAATCAAAACCTACTCCAAGAACATTTAAATACTTAATTAGTGATAAGGGCCATGCCAAATTCGGCTGCATTATCTAGAGGGTCCAATTTTTGCATTGCATGCATGACACAAGTGACAAAAAATGTAGCATTTTCAAACGCTCCTACATTGAATTATTATATATATATTTTTTTATTTAATTATCTATCAAATTCACAACTAAAACAAATTAATTAGGAATTAAATATTGTAGGTGATGATGAGACATTAAACCTCGACATTTTGCACACGTACGTTGCAAGAGGATAATTAGTAGGTATAACGACATTAAACTTATAATCACTTTTATCACTATCTTCTGAATTAGATGGTGCCAAGGGTGTCACTATCTCAAGAAAATTAAGGGACTATTAGATGTAATTATCTAAGATATGAATATGGTTGACAGTACATAACTATATAAATACTATTAATGGAGAAATAAAATAATTAGATCTTGTGTACTACAAATATATGTTTATTTGTATGCAACAACTTTAGTCATCCACTCATCCTAAATACAAAGAGAGTATAGTTTATAGCTCTATATAAAGTTAAACTCACAAAGAGGTAAATATATCTAAATTATATATAGTGTTACTCTAGCTTTGATATGTTTGACCTAGATTATTTATTGCATCACTTTAACTAGACACATTTGTCAAATACAAATTTGGCTGTCTATAATTAAATATTTATTAGTAAAATTAATATTTTGAAAAATTATCTATTAATATAAACCAACACCTTACCAGCTAAATTTGTTTTCACATAGTAGTAAAATAAATATATGATCCAAATAGAGTGTGTGAATTGTGCAAAAAGTCAAAATGATGCTATAAACTGGAACGGAGGGGTACGATACTTTGATCGCCTAAAATTAACTTGCAAGCTAGAAATTGTAAAGGTGAAATTCCAATAAGAAGAAAAACTAAGAGCCATATCATGAGAAATCAAGTGATTATATAGCATATATAAGAGTGAGAAGCCCATTAATAATTACTCCATAAATATTATTAGGAAGGCTGATGAGATTTTAAAGAATGATTTTCAACATACAATAAGGTTTTTCAATTATAAACAAAATGTTGCTTAACTTTGATAAAACAATTGACTGTAGGGTTTCACCTTATGTAACTTAATTGATAAAGAAGTCGAAATTTCTTCCAAAAAAAAAAAAAAAAAAAACGAAGTTGAAAATAAATTAGATTAATGTAGAAATATGTGGACATTATTTTACAATGCTAATGACGAAAGCATGAATTATGTCGAATTAATAATCTCAAATTGGTTTATTTTGCCAAAATTCATTAATGTTCTTCTGCATATAAAAAAGTGAGATTTTATGTGAAACAAGAAATCAAATTTTGTTTTCAACCTACTATGCATTATTGTATACAAATATATATTTTCCAATTTCGTTTTCACCTTTCTTTCTTATTTTCCTAAGTTTTGAATTTACTTTTGTCGATTCGAAGTCATCAAAATGTTAACATGACCGAAGAATATTGAACAATTCCAATTTTAAGAGGAGGTAATTATATTAATTTATAACATGGCTGACACAAATAATTTTCCGTTTCATAAACTATATCGTACAATATCACTATTTGGTATAAGCCTAATTAAGTGATTATAGCAAACTTACATAATATTTGTACTCCTTGATTTGGTATGAGCTTTTAAAAATTGGTAAAAGGGGGATTAATGGTTATTACTGTCGGTTCACTTTACTTAACTAAAACTAATCTGTGAGATATACGTTTAGATTTTGTTTAACTTTCTTTTATTTATTTGTTTGTCAATTAAGCATATAATTAGAGAAAGGAGGTGGTTAATAAATGAATTGGAGATTATTATAGATGATTGTGCACTGTATGATCCATAGTTTTCTTACCAATAACTTTAATTCTAAATCCGCCACTGTATTATATCATAACATCTACTCCTTATATTTTATGTGACTCGGAAAAAAAAAAAGGCCTATAGATGGGCATAACCTGTAAATGAAAAAGAAAATAATGAATGAACTAACCAGGAATATCCCAAGGCTCACACTTGTTGAGGTCAACTTCAATAAGAAGAGCAGATTCACAACCATTCCATTTCTTCATTAAGTAATCACAAACAAGTTCATCATCTCTTGGATGAAACCTAAACCCTGGTGGCAGCTTTGCCTCCACCATGGTTAGGCTACTCATTTTTTTTTTATGAAAATAAAAATAGTGAAGGATTAAAATGATATGAAAATTATATATAAGTAGGTGGGAAAATAAATATGACGATGACGAGAATCCAGGGCATATGGGGTGGTATAAATATAGAGGAATAATGTTAGGGGTTAAGTCAACTAGTAATTCCGTGTTAAATGGGGATCACTAAAGAAATTTAGAGGTTCATGACGTATGCTACATGGCTATTGTCAAAAAAAAAAAAAAAAAAAAAAGACGTATGCTACATGAGGCTTTTCAATTGCTTGCCAACCTCATGACGATCACTGTTAGGAAGTAGCTAAGGGAGTTGGGTATGGATTCAATTTTCTTACTCGCTCCCTGTATTCGTAAATAATTGACACGATCAAATTTAGTAAGCATGTTAACCACTAATTTGTCCTTAGATAATTAAGCATAAGTATAAAATTAAAAATAGTTGATATTATGAAACTTTATGTTTGTAGGGAACTTTACCAACTCGTTTGCTCTATATATGGGTCATGTTTTTAAGCATGGCGACGCTCCTAGGAAAAAAATCTAGAGAAAAAGAAGTAGCCACGCATCGCAGCATGCTATGTGCTGTGGCTGCGCATGCTTGCGTGCTGGGCATCGCAGAATGCTATGTGCTATAGCTGTGCATGCTTGTGTGCTGGGCAGCGCCTAGCACAAGCAGCAGCTGCCAGGCAGCGATGCGTGGCTTGCTGGCTGCGTGCATGCGTATGTAGGCTGGCTAGCAAGCCCCGCCAAGGTGTCAGGCGCTAGCTAGGCTGCCAGCTATGCGTGGGCTGCTCATAGGGTTTTGGTGGGGACCGATTCTTGGTGGCTTTGCTTGGTGAGCAAGGAGTATAGGCCCCCCCCCCCCCTTGAATGGTCCTCACCTACTGTTTCTCACCCTTTGCAACTTGGAGCTTGTTGATTGCTTTGTATTTTAATTTGTTTTTTATTAAAATAAATTGGTGGAAAAATGCAATTTTCCCACATTGATGGGAGAAGGGGAGATCAAGGCTCCCTTCCCTATAAATACCCAAGTTTTGGGTTTGGGAAAAATCACTTAAGTTGAACTCAATAAGGCATCTCCCTATAGGTGAGAAAACCTTTAAGTTTGTAATAATCTAGTCTTACAAATGACCTCGATTAAGGATAGATTAGAGACATAAACTAATTCCGAAAGGGACCGTCTTTAATCTATTCCCTCAAATAAATCTATTATACATATTGGCACCAAACAAAACAAACTACTAATTTTATATATACCAACCAAAACAAAAATCGTAAAAAAGTTAAATCATGGCAGACATCGTCTAATCTGCGGTTGAAGTTGTGTTGTGTATATACTTGTGTGCAAAGCACCATAAAAGTGTTGTGTTGTACACTAAAGTATCAAAGTTGACACTAATTGTGTGCAAAGCACCATAAAAGTGTTGTGTTGTACACTATAGTATCAAAGTCGACACTAATTGTGTGCAAAGCACCATAAAAGTGTTGAGTGGGTAGAGGCCGTTTGGGTCGGGTCTCGAGGGTGGACTCTGTTGGAGGTTCTCGCACTTGCGGAGGTAAGGCTTTGAAGTCCGAGCTCTATAGGAGAGAAGCACGCGTCGAGGGTAAGAATGTCCTTTCCCTTTCTCTTTCTTTTGTTATTTAATTATGTGATTGCATGCTTAGTTGCTTTAATTAGTGGGCGGGTCTTGGGCGAGTTTTTCTTCCGCATAGTGTTGGACGCTACAAAACCCAACAGCGGTATCGGAGCCGCGCTCACTTTAACTATTGTAACTAATAATTAATTAAGGTGATTTAAAATGGATTTAAATTTCTGGTTTTGTTTTCTAATTAAACTAGAAACTCGTTTTAGTTAGTTTTTATCTCGTATTTTTACTAATTTTGGCTGACGAACCCAGATTTGACCCAAAAATAGTGAATTTTGGGTAGAATTGATGTTCTAAATCGTTTTTGACCCTCTACGTGAATTGCCCAGAAGCCAAAATCCACCCACAAACATGTTTTTCGAGAGGTTTTTCGTTTTGACGAAATTTTTTAAATCTTTAAACCTTGATTAATTATGGCATGTTAAAGGTAGATTAAATGTATGGTTACATCACTAATCTCCTGCAATAATTAACCTTATTAAGCATGTTTATGAAGTCATAATTGGTGCTTAATTTGGTGAGCTCATTTTTCACATAAACTTGAAATTGCACATTATTGCAAATCAATTGCTTCAAGTGTGAATGTTTATGGTGAATGTGTATTTTTGAAGTCCCTAATATGTTAAAGATCCAATCTTTAATTGTTTATTTGGTTGGAACTTTGATTTCTGAATTCCATGTTGAACTAATTGTTGGATTTAATCATTTTTGAGCTGATTAAAGTCTTAAAAGTTCAAAACTTGTGATTGAAATTTAATTAATCTTCATATTGGAAGATGTAATTTTTCAATTATACACAAGTTAGTGTCGGAAAATTTTCATTAGATGAATGGGTTTATTTTTCCAACCTCTTTAATTTTGTCAAATCTCATTATTAATTTATGTATGGTTAAATCAATTGTGAGTATAGCCCTTCAATTTTGTAACATCATGATAAACCGAAAATTGATTTAAAGAATGGTTCTTGAATAATTTTGGTTTGTGCACTAAAATTGAATTTATTTAAGTTAGACTTGTTATATTTTAATTCTTGCTCAATCTTGGTTCTAAAATAAATTTAGAATCGATTTTATGTCACACACATATCGGGATTAATATCTCGAGATAAAACCAAGCAAATTGAGACAATGACCGCCAAAGCACACCGCAAGGCTAGTCGAGCTACTCTCGCAACCCACATGTGGTTGTCGTGGTGTGCATGAGCTGCTTATGCCTCGAAGTGATGTTAATGTGTGGTAGTTTTGGGCTTGGTGCACGCATGTTGCTACACGCATAGTGCGGTGTGTGCATGTTTGGTGCATTGAGGATGCAAGGGTGATGCGCACAAGGTGCTACGATAAAGGTGCCTTGGTGCTGCGATGTGTTGCTAGGAGACATAAGCTCGCATGATTTAGGACCTTTGAAGCCATGTCTTGTGTGTGTGCAAGTGCGTTGATGTGGCCGGTGTAACGTGTATGCGACATTGAGATCACTCCCACGTGCTTGGGCCACAAGCGGTTGTGTGTGTGCGGCCACGCAAGGCACCTCAAGCCTTAGTGCTAAGCACTTAGGGATCGTAATGCATCGATGTGCTATGTGTTTTTCTATTTTGCCGTTTTAATTATTCATTCATTTTAACAAGGCTAGGCCTCGGTTTTTCCGGCTCTTGCAAGATATTTTGGCAAAATTTGGGTAAACCGGCTTAATTAATTGGGTTAATTAAGTTGGATGCGGAATTTAGTGGGAGCTTCGTTAATTACTCGAGCTACTTTATTGCGTCTTAATCACATAATCGGTAAATAACTTTGACTAGTTTTAATTAGGCGTGTTAATTGGATTAACCCCTAAGTTAGTTACTAGTTTGCATGTGTTATGCATTGTTACTTGTTTTTCATTGTAAAATGCATGGGCCATTCACGTATAGTGAATGGATGAATGGAATGGGTATTGTTTCACAGGTTTTGTGAAAATGGCAACTAGTGGGACCCGACTAGGATATTCAATATGGACTGCGATCCGTTATGTATTTTTGTAAATCTAAATACGGTCTGCGTACCGTTGCGTATTTTTGTAACTTAATATTTAGATTAATCCAAGTTATAGTAATTAGTAGTTGCATATTTGGTGGAGATGACTCGAAGACGGCGTTTCTAAGAAGGTAAGCCAAGAAGTTGCATCAAAGACCCTTGGAGATTTGAAGACTCAAGGAGTCATGCTAGTTGCCAAATGCATTTTTTACTTTTGTTTTATATATTTATAATTGTGTTTATATATGATTGAATGGTATGATAGATGCATGTTTAGGATTTCAAGTGTTGCGATAATTAATTAAGTTCACTTAAATCAACCAACATAGAAACCCTAGGTCCTTATAATATTCAGCCAAATTTTCCATTCCAAGAACAACAATTACCGAACTAATGCGCGTAGTGATGGGCTACGCCAAAGCGAGGCATCACTAATTCCCTAGGAATGTAAGGTATACTAGGTATACAAGTTGGTCTTAGTTAAGCTCAACGATATCAGTAAGGAGTCCTTAGTTGTCGTGGCAATGGAGATAAAATGTCATGAATGCATTAGATGCGACGTTTTATCGAACCAAGAGTAGCTTGGAGCTATTAGCAATTGGATTGCTTACCCTAAAATATTAAGTGTTAAGACAAGACAAAGCATGCTTAGTCACTTTCTGATTTTTGGGATCTTGGAATCGTTTTATTCTCGCCTAAAAGGGACAAAAATTTTAATACGTGGATAAGATGCGTAATAAGATTGAAAGTTTGCATGTATGCTTTGAATTTCAAACTTATTATGTTATGAAGTTGATAAATGGTTATACTTTGCACTTGTGTTTGTAGAATTCTAAATCAAATTATATTGTTTTCAATGATTGGTAAAGAAAATCTTTGAGGATGGTTGTCAAAGAAAAGAAAAGCATTTCTAAAATACAACTCCCATAAATGACTTTTATAATAAATTCCGAAAGGACGGTTGGATATCATGTATTCAAAATACTAGGGAGTTTTGATGAACAGGAAATATTGAGTTGAAAAACTCAAATTGTCAATAGTTGACAACCAACATATCTTTTCACTTCATACAGTAATGAGTAGGACTCATTAATGTGGCAATTCAAGTACGAATTGAAGGAAAAGATGTAACTTTGTTTCACGGGGCATTAGATGCTTAATTATGCCTAACAAAGTTTAAAAGTCAAAGCACTTAAAGAAATGGTTCTTAAAGTTATGAGATGATGGATGATAAGAAATATAGGAAACAAGGAATAAAGGAAAGGAATAAGATTCCTTTTCTACCCATGAGTTCATGTTATTGTGTTTAACTTAGCAATTCGTTATCTTCACAAGTATTGGATACTGCTTAAGTAATCCACTTTGAAAGTGACCTCAAATCATTGAAGGCAAGCTAAGTTATTGACTTTCAAGCTTAGAATGAAGCAAGTAGTGCTACATCAGTTGTAAGGTCATTTGTATTGTTTAAAGTCCTTTTGAGCCAAGGTTGGAACGAATAATGGTTATTGTGTTCCATAATCAGCAAACGATCCGTTTACACACGGAAAGACTCACATTCAAAGTAAAAGAGCAATAGTTGCAGGTTTTATTTGAATGGCATGGTTGTCTAAGCCATGAGTCAAGAATGCTAGATTATAAACAAACATTTCCCTAACATGAAAACTCAAAGGTTCAAGTCATGGACATGAT